ATAAGTATACCATGGTGAAAAATAAAGTAGCAATATGTTAACAAGTAGGTGAGCATATAAAGTAGGGCTGCACGATATTGGAAAAAACTGACCTGCGATATATATTGCGATTTGAAAAAATACAGGAATTGAAGAAAAGACCGCAGACCATCCTTTCTTGAACTTTAATGCTATACAATTGGTATTTTTCTAACCATATTTAACCGGATGAAGGATTTTAGTCACGGATGTCTGGATCTTAAGTTATCAGAGCAACAAGCTGAGCTAGCTCGGTTAGCAGCGCCGAACTGGAGAAACACATGAAACTACTTTATTCAGTGTTTTTACCTTTAATCACCGTTTGCTTTGGAGATTTGATTGTGATTGGTGGTTTGCTGTCACTCACTCAAGTACCCCTGACATGAGAGCCGCGCAAGTTTTCCTTTTGTAGCAAGCGGCAAAAATAATCGTAACATGACGTGTTTGAGTTAATTTGCCTACTTAACATCGCACGTCCTAAAAAATATCGTGCAGCCCTAATCCAGACTGATGTTCTGGGTTCAACCAAAAATAAAAACAAAGCTCGTCAGGCTTGAACACAGCAACAGGTCCTCTTGTCTTTCTGCAGACAGGAAATACTGGAAAACCAACTTTTTGTAGAAAAACAAATGGAAAAACTTCAGGACTTTTTTTGGTAAAATCTGTCAGTAATCGTTGAACAGTGTGCGAAGACTTGGAGCTATTTTCTGAAGTCTTTTTTTACTATTTATACATTCATGTGACCTCTCTGAAGTCGACATATTCTGATAGCTTAGTTGGTCCTGAGAATAAAGATGTGTTTTGACTCGATTACAGGCTTCATGTTTTACAGGCTCTTTTACACAAGGCGAACAAAATAAGGGCGTAAACTTAAAAAAATATAAATACAAGGTTATATTTGATGTTTTCCGGTGGTTTCAGTTTGTAGAAATAGATATTAAATGAAAACACTGCACAGGGACAGGCTGCTGCTCTTCCTTTGGTAAACAGAAGGAAGTGGAACTGGATCATTTGCATGTGCACATATTTGAATTTGCCTACAGTGTGCTATCTCTGTAATGCACGGCTGCAAAAGTCAAATGAACCAGGACGCAGTTTGTTTGTTTTGTTTTTGCAAGCCAGCGTCTACTCGTCCCTATCCAAGTTGTTTTATTTGTTAGCAAACAACAACAAGATAGCTAGTTGAAGAACAAGGCAATTGAAAAAGCTTTATTAGAAATATGAACCGTTAACATCCTGTGTCCTGGAGGATAAAAGGCCCAGCTGAGGTTATACAACGAGCATAATGACACACAGATGTACTTGAGTTTTAATCAGATAAGCAGGTTTAATAACAGTCTACTGTGAGGGTAGGATGGTGGTAATATCGGCGCAACAATACAGGGGGGGGAAATGGGGGCACCATGAATGTAATGACGGTTCAATAAAAGTGATACAGAGTGTAAGGTGGACAAAAGTCTGTGTGTAATTTTAGCTTAGATACATTAGAAAATAGCAATGACTTTTTTCAAATTGTGTTCATCTGCTAACCCATTTAAGGGTTAAAAGCATCCGTGCAACAGAAACACATTTAAAAACAGTCATTAAAGAGCAAAGAGAATATTCATTCAAATGCAAGATGGGTGTGAAACAAAGGAGCAGTGCGGAGTCAGAAGGAATAATATGTGTATTTAAAGACAGCTGCAAAAAGGAAAGTGTTGATATTAAAGAAGTGAGTTTTAAGGAGTTGTAACCTGCATCATGTTTGATCTCTGTTCAACCTGGAGTTTCCCCCGCGTCCTCTAATGTCACGCCTCTCAACTCGTGTTTCCTGGGTAATTGAAATGCTCGTGTGAGTTTCAGCTCATCATCTTGACGCCATGTTCTCACGAGAGAAGCTTGACGATTTATTTTTTGTTTTTGGTGCAGATCTCGGTACGGCGGACGATGGGAAAACGTTTGACCCGAGTTCACTCGACCCAAACAGATGTGAGAGCTGCTATGGAGCGGAGACTGAAGACCTGAAGTGAGACACACACACACACACACACACACACACTCACACACACACTCACACTCACACACACACTCACACACACACACACACACACACACACACACACACACACACACACACACACACACACACACACACACACACACACACACACACACACACACACCAGAGACTATATATTATATATATAAATATATCAAACTGTTTAAAATCAGGTCCAAATAATGTATAGTTTTTGTGGAGACACTAAACACTAATATCAATATACGAATATTAAGANCTCACACACACACACACACACACACACACACACACACACACACACACACCAGAGACTGAAGACATGAAGTGAGACACACACACACACACACACACACACACACACACATACACA